TCATATACCGTTTTCATGGTTAGTATATATACCATAACTAATCTTTATTAGAACCATACGTCACACTGTCGCACACATATTTATAAATAGGATATGTGTTTCACACACGATAACCAAGTCATATCCATGCATTGTCACATTTGTCAAATTTATAGTTGACAATTCAATAAATCAAAATTTCCTGCATCCATAATATTTTTTAAAAAAATTACCCCATTCACCTCCAAATCCCATTTTATTTGCAAATTTAAAATGATTTGTTTTTAATTGCAAATATATCAATTTATTGTTTATGAATGGTTGATTTAATTGTACTTTATTTTAGTCATTAGCTTTAATTTTTTTATTTATGATTCATTTATGAATGATTTATGTATGATTTTATTTTGAATATCGTATTATTGCAATTTTTTAAACAAAATTATAGTAAAAAATTAAAAGAGCCAATATTTTATCATTTACTTGGATAAGGCCGCTCCCTAGCCGTCCCACTTAGCCCATGCCTAATATAGTGTGGGCTGTCTGGCCCATTAGATGTGCCGTCAAAGTCCAAAGTCTAAACGGTCCTTACTTTCCCAATAATGCATACAAGGTGGGAAAAGAAAAAGTTAAAAATAAATAAATAAATCATAGTAAGTGTTAGGTAGGTGCTTATTATTTCTCATATATTGTCACGACCTTAATGCCGAGGTAGTTCAAGCTGTTGATACTCAAACTCGATATCGCGCCTTCATTAAGACGAGTAGAGCTGATAAATGAGCTTAAGTTTGATTGGTTTATCAATATTAATAAGTTGAATTTGAACTTTAACGAGTTAAATTTGAGTGTTAAAGAGCCATTGAATTTTAATAAAAAATCACATTTTTGAGTCGTTAACTAAATGAGCTCGAATTTTTAGTTTATTTATCAAAAAAGATGAGTCGAGCTCACGACGCCACACAAATGCGCCTTCGTGTTGTTTGAAGACTTATTTCACAAATTCATACTGTTGTCACTTGACCCCCAATGAATCTTTTATTTTTATCTCCACTTTCCTCGTTTAACACTTCTCTTCATTTGCAATCCTTCTAATTGTATCAATTTATTGTTGGAATGACATGTGTAGGACCCACATCCAACTAATAATGCTTAATTATTAAATTCTAAACGTATATAAGAAAATTGTATTGATTTAAAGAGGTTATGAAATTTTACGAGCTATAGATCAATTTATATATGATGATATTTGTTATAATTACTAGAGATTCTCAATCTACAATTATACAGCATTTTATAATTTGATGCAATATTACGTAAACTCCACAAACATGTGGATTTCAAGCGATAGAAAATCATTTGTAATTTTGCTGTCACCCTTAGATCAATATTTCGTATTGATCACATCACTTAGCAATAAGGGGCGGAGTTCATAAATCATAACCCAATGCGCAAATGGGCCTAAATGCATGCACATCCTTGTAGTGGGTCCCTGTCACAAGTCTGCCCATTTATATTTTTTATAGTTTATTATTACTTTTTTATTTTATTTTATTATTTTGTGTGTTCAATTAGCTATTTACCCACTTGGGTAATTAGAAGTGACAAGCATTAATATTATGCTACAGCCGCTAATGGATCAATGCCAAGAAGAGATGTTATGTGAGTTAATGTTCTTAGCTGCTCCTATCAATATTATTGGTAAAATACTATTAGTGAGAATTAAAATTAACACAATCATCCTCTTTTTTTAAAAAAAAAATTAAAAAATTATTATCAGTCAGGTACAACAATTAGATAACCAACTTCCTTCAAGAAGCTGTGCAATATTATTTGATATTTTATGGATAACTTTTTATTTATTTATTTTTTTTATTTTTTTTTGAGGAAAAACAATAATGTGGTATTTAATATGCAGGAGAAGAAAGCTGAGAGGTATTTTTTCTACTTAGGTCAAACCGACCTATAATGAGAGTAAGGATTATATGCTACAAGTTGCAAAAATGGGAATTAATCCACCAGATTACGATTTTACTAATGTAGTCAACCCACTAACTAATAAAAGATGTAAAGTTTTCCTGCCGGATAATAACTGATAACTACTTATTTTCTAAACTTAAAAGTAAATTCATGCAAAAATATATAATAAAAAAAATTGAAGACAAATCAAAATTTAGAAATTAAACAAACCGGTAGGTATAAGTTAGATTGACATAACAATTTGACAAATATGATTTGCTACAGTATGCATACTTCCGTTAAAAATAATAATACTTTAAAAGATAGCATATATAAAATATCATATTTCATAATATAAATATGTATTTTTTTTTTTAAACAAGGCTGATCGACTTTAATATAAGAATTTATATTTTTTGATTATGGGTTAATGATGCTAGCCATTTTTTTCATTTTATTTTTTTCATATTGATAAATTAGTATAGCTCAAAAAAATAAAACAAAGCACATGTTGAAATTAATTAAAACATCTAATTAGTCGTGAATGTCCACATAGTTCCACTAGGGCAACAGAAAATTCCATTTTTGATTGTGCTTACATTTTAGTTGAGAGTAAACATGATTACTGACTTGATTAAAGAACACAAATGGGGGATTAAAACTGTTAATCAACCCATTGATTATTTAATTGAGGCATTTGTTGTATACTTGTATTAAAAAAGTTAAATGTCTAATGATGTTTGTAGCTTCCAACAATAATTAGCTTTTTCAGTCACAATATTACTGGAAAGACCTAATAACCTAATAAAGTAGTTTAAGTAATCAAAACTTAAATTTAACTCAACTTCACTATCCTCTATACTGTTAATATTAATGAAATAATATGAATTAATCATCCTTATACATTTATTGTCTAACTTAAACTAGAGTTATTCGAATCAAATACCCCTCGCAACACGGCTTTCTCGTAATTTCCTCAAACTACAAAAAAGGGCACTGCACAGTGCACACCCATGCCATATTCTCTCCCACCCTTTATTATAAATATTCACACACACGCTCACAAATCTTACTTTCAGACAGTTTACTACACAACAAAAAAAAAATAAATAAATAAATAAATAAAAATGGGAAACTGCCTAGTCCTTGAAGACAAAGTCGTCCGTGTAATGAAACCCGACGGCAAAATCCTGGAATACAAATCCCCCATCAAAGTTCACCAGGTTTTATCCGAGTTCACCCACCACTCGTTATCTGACCGGGTCCCGGTCTCGAAGCACATGCACCCAAACGCTGACCTGGCGGGCGCTCGATTGTACTATCTGCTTCCCCTGCCTGTACCTCCTCCCCAGAAGAAGCCTGCTGAAGAAAGCAAGAACAGAAGTAAGAAGAGGGTCCGTTTCACGGAGGACGTGAAAGGAGGAGGTTCGTCAGACGGGCCGCAGGGGGAGACAGCTGGCGGCGCCGTGAGGATCAAGATCGTGATCAGCAAGCAGGAGCTTCAGGCCATGCTTCAGGTTCAGAAAGAGTGGGCCCCGCAGCCTCCTCTGGAAAGTGGTCCCGATTTGAAGTAGCAACTAGTATAACTTTGAGGGGGGTATTTGTAATTTCGAAAGATTGGAGGAGGCTTTTGGTGTAATTTAGGCTGAATTAAACCCTGTTAGAGTAGTTTTTAGTTTTACTAAGCGGTTAATATATACTTAGCAGAGGCAATCTTAATTGCAGATGCAGAATGCTGATTATACTTATATAATGATCTAATGATCTACTCGTATTTTGTATGCATCAACAAATTAGATACTAGATAGGATAGTAATTACATGAACAGCCCCTAAGGTTTGGACTAATTAACAGCAAAAAGCTCCCATAATCTGTTAATAGTTATTGTTGGCAGTGAAATTGAGGTTTTACCTAACAAAATAGCCCCTTAATTATGAAACGGATGTACAAAGAGGCTCATGCCGTTAAATCATTCTGATGAAGTGAATAGCTTGACTTGTAAATTTAATCAGAGAAATTCTGACCAGATGAGTAGGATTTTATGTAGAACTATTTGCAGTCACCAGATTTTTCACCGTTGGATGTGTGTCTTGATCCAACGGTAAAAAACCCGATGACTGCATTGCATATGAGGTGAAATCTACACTATTTACTATGATGTTGTGGAACAGCTTATTCGAATTGCTTGATAAATGGTCTGAGAACAGAAAATACTGTTTTTTCCATTAAGTAATGGACTCTGCCTCAGCATCTACACAATTAACGCAATGATCGTTATTGTTTTTCTGTAACAGGGCCGTGTTTGCTTTTCAGCACCTTTGCTAAAAGTACCGTTTTGGCGGTTTTGACCAAGTCAAACGTTTAAGTGGTGTTTGGTTCGCGTGTAGATAACTCATTTGTTCAACAGCAGCAGAAAGTGACACCAATAACATTATTATCAATTACCGAAGTTAAGCAGCAAAAATGTCTTGAGGTAAAGATTAATTAAGCAGCAGATTTCACGTTTTCTTGACAAAATTTTGTTCCACGGTCTCGAGATTCGAAGTTTCACTACTGACCACCAGCCAATCGGATCAGGTAAACCAGTTGGTCGAACGAAAAAAATAAAATAGATTCATTATTATATGTTAAAAAAAAATGCCATCTTATTTGTCCAAATATTTTGAACTATCAATTTTTGACCATATTATTTCATGTTATTTTTTACATTTTGTCCCTTTCCTTACCAATACATTCAATTCGTAATAGTTTTATATGCCTTTGGATTGTAAAATGTTGTAAAATTTACATAAAAGTTTATTTCAAGTAGATTCCAATTCTGACGGTCTACATATATATGATAGCATTTGATTTTTATTTTTTGTAAGTGCTATTGTTACATGTATAATCAATAAAGTTATTGGATAAACCTAAGAACCATACATTAAAGAAGATGAATGGTAATATATTTTGATAGTTTTGAAATGGTCATATTTTGATAGTTTTGTAAATACTTGTAGTTGACATTGTTATCCTAAATTTGTCATTGTACTTCCTTACTTTACTGCTTCCTTCAAATTTGAATGGTCATATGCAAAAATCCAATTTATTTTGCTAGGTTTTGTTTTTAAACCTCCAAACAGATTATCGCAAAAAGGGTACAACTTACAAACCTTTTTGATCCTCAGCTACACGGCTACATTGCAACAAATCATTTCTTTTAATATAAAATAGAAGTTTTAGAATACTATTCAATTTCCAACACATATCCAACCCAAACTGTATTTTTCCATCTTTGCCAGTTGCTACACAAAACAAACTGCCCACAATGTAAGATGAAGCACCTATATCATCAACACACCTGCCACAAGAATATGAACTTCATTAGATTCTAGCAAGATTTAACAGGTACAATAACAATAATTTTAAGTTTTTTCTTCGAAAAAAAAAAAAGGAGAAAAGGTATTGTAGTCTGTATACTCCTGTAAGGTTCGTATTCATTATACAGGCTCATTAGATCCTACCGGTGTGGGCAGTTCACCGTCAGATCACACACACACACACACACACGCACACACCCATGTGGGTAGGTGTTGATTTGTCGGTGAAAACCTCGTCGTAACGTTATTTATTCTATATACTACACCTCAATATTATAAATTTTGTGAAATATGAACAAATTCAACAGGCTACGTGTGGCTTTGTTGTATAACTGAAAAACCGAAGGCAATCAAACTATAATATGGTACTCACACAAGAGTAACAGAATCAGAAGCAAGGCCAATATAGACGGTACTGGATGATATCTAGCTTGGATATCATGTAAAGATCGATGGCATTTGTCTCTAAAACCCCTTATCCAGCTACTCAATTGCATGGCTTGAGAAGGTGACAGGAAGCAAGATAAATTGCTATATCCGAAAGCTGAATGCAGTCGGGCCATCCTCTGTCAATATATGAAGAGTGAAAAAATAAAGTAGAATAAATTACATAGTTGCAAACAGAAGAACAAATCCAGAAATAATTTTCCTATTTCATTACTAGTGTAAGTGTATTGACATCATTTATTTTGTGAACAGGCTCATGCTTTTCAATATTGGTAGAGATGCCTCTACTGATACATGATACAACAATCTCAATCAATCTACACTCTCATGCAAATATTGAAAGCAACAAAATCTGACTACAATATCTAAAATGATTGGGATCCTATTTAATAAAACTACATGATCTAGATAAGGGTCTGAGAATTGGCTAGCAAGTCACTTTTTCTTATAACCTAGTCATTTAGTAGCATCACACCAGTAAATAATTTAATAGCTAGTGCTTCTTCTATTAGTGAAGTTTCTAGAAAAAAAATATATCAAACGGCGCAATGCACCTTGGGTCGCTACGGAAACAGTCTCCTTGTATAATTACAAGGGTAAGGTCTACGTACAACTGACCCCCCAGACCCCAACCTGGGAATATACTGGGTATGTTGTTGTTGTTGTTGAGTGAACACATCTAACCACATTAAAGAAAAACTTTCAAGACAGGTTTGAGACAGCCGTCAAGCAAAATTTGAGCAAAAAACATGAAATTACAAATTTGAGCAAACTTTCGAAATGAAGGACCAGAAGCAAAACAGAAACACAATCATACTCTCCAATGTTGCGTTGATCATGCATGAAAAACAAATCTAATAAAAAATTTATTAAATCCTAATAACAAATTTGACAAAAAAACATGAACAAAAAATCAATATACTGAATTCGAGAACTACATTAACTCTTTAAATCTCATAGATAAATTACAAACCCAAAGTTAATGATGAAATTACCTGCATGCCTGGGTGAAAATCGCTGAAGAGCTGGGACTGCCTCTGTTCCTCCCCATCTTTTAACCTCTTTGTGAAACTTCTGCTAAACCGGAAATTTCCCAAGGACCTAAATATGTTCATTCTCCCAAAATATCCTTCCAGCTTATTTCTCTGCAAGTTGCTTCTACCAATTGCATGATTGGCTTCCAAATCCCATGTCCCTTCTTCGGCGTGCATGCCTGTATTAGCCCCCTCAAAAGAAACTGAAGGTCCCAAATCCATTTCTGCTAGAGAATTCTTCAAGTCCATATTATTATGGTCCCTGTATGAAATCTCGCCCGCCTTCAAATTTACAATTTCACCAGCATTATTCTCATCGATATATTTCCTCGGACTTGATGACATGGCTGGATCAAGAAACCTTCTTAACATATTATCATCCGCCGAGTCATGGCCAGCCATGTGTTCAACGGGACTTTCACCCGTGAGAAAGAGTGCCAGCCCATCCCTATCATGCTCATTCAAGTTCAAATTCCTCGACTGGTTTCCCAATGATGCATCCATGCTTTGTTCAACACGGATTATTTGTTCCCTGATGGCTCCAATAAATTGCATGTGCCTTAGGATCACATTATTATCCAATTGAAACTTGTCGGCCAAATTTACCTCTCTCTCAAAGTCTTCGAGCTACATACACAATGTTCCAGGGATAAGCAAAAACACAGACAAATTTAGTTATTTTTACTTGTCTACAAACAATACCTGCCATTTTGCTGTTTCCATGGCTGTGGAAAGATCTCGCTTATGACATTCAATGGAGCTAAGAAGTTGTTCGTCCATAGGATGCTCATGAACAAGACTCTGTTCATGTAATAGAAGGCGAAATATAGACTCCATCCTGAACAAAACCATCAAAAAGGAATGTGCTCTCTAATCAATCTGGTGAACTCAGTCGCTATTGTAAAGAAATTTGTAGCATAAAGCGCACACCGAATTGTTTCCTTACACACACATACACTCACACACACAAATAAAGAAATAAATAAATAAATCTTTACACATTTCCTAACTACTATTTCTTCCTAATAAAAGCCCCTGTACACTGACCTTCCAACCCACAAGGCTTCGACTCACGTCTATCATATGTGAGTTCCTACGTTGTATTTACCATGTTTGCATAACAATATTGTATTTACTTGATTTGATAGAGTGTTTACCAAATGCCAATGTATATATTATACAGAGAGCATTGCAGGCATCTTGCAATAATGAACAAAGAACTATAAGCAGCTACTACCCAACCTCTGCCACGAATTAAAAGCTTGTAATGTCAAATTTCTGGTAGTTACCCTGCAGTAAATCTAACACGGGAAGCAGAAACAGAGCCATTTTTGCCAGTACCTTTATCCGTTAAAACACCCATTTTTGTTCCTTCCATTCAACCTTATTCTCAACACACACACGTAAACACACACACAGAGGGGGAGAAAGAGAGAGATAGATTACCGATCGGCGGAGTCTTGAACGACCTCGGCCGCCGCGAAATGCGGGTCGGATTCCCATTCGCGCATGCTAAACCCAGCTACCTTACAAAACCTTTTCCACTACAAAATTGAATCGCTAAAATCGAAATGCTCGAATCACTTTCTGAACAAAAACTAGCAGCAGCAAGGAGCAAAATGAATTATAGAGAAAAGTAAAAGAAAAAAAACAATTGCCCACACATGTGAATTGAAGATGAAGCAAAGCGAAGGATACTAGATCTAGGCGGAATTAACCACCATGCTCAACTTTATCTCGATTATTTTTCCGTTTGAATTATATGGTCGGAAAATTTACAGGAATTGCTCCGGTAGGGTTTATCCAAAAAAAAGATGATTTTTGTGTTTCTTAAATGGAAATATGGCCGCGATAGTAAAACCGGCAACTGGTTGGGCCGTACATCTGTTATCATAGCTGGTGGTTGTCTGGTTGAAAGAAAAAAATAATACTCCCTCCTATTCATAATAAGTATGGTTTTGAGAAGTTGCACAATAATTAAGAATATTTTTTTTGTCAATAATAACCTTCATTAATACAATAATTAAGAATATTTTTTTTGTCAATAATAACCTTCATTAATGAAAATAGAGATGAATGTTTTGAGAAAAGATGAAGAGTGAATATGAAAAGACACAGTGTATTTATTAACTAAATTGAGGGTAATAATAGAAAAACATGTATAAAAAATTCAAAACGACATTTATTTTGTTAATGGTTGATAAAACCAAAACTAGTACGTACCGGAAGAGAGATATTAAATGAATTATTTTCAAAGACTCTGTCTGTTTAAGTCTGAGAAGGGTTATTATCCATTTTCCACCTATTTTAATCACTTAAGTCTGAAAAGTTATCATCTATTTTCAACCTCTTTTAATCACCGTTGAGTCTAAAAGAATAGGATTGTAATCTATTTTTCACATCTTTTAATCAGCGTTGTTTTATTAGTAGAACATTAAACGTGAGCATGTTAGGACTAACTTGTAAAATAATTAATATATTATCTCACTAACACATTTATACTAATATAAATTTAATTTTATTATATATATTTATTCCTTGATACAAGAGAAAATAACAATTTTACTTATTCTTATTCACTATATAATAGTTAATTATTAAACTCTGTTGTCATATAATGTCATTATTATTTATAAAATTATACAAATTGCACGTCTTTTTGTTCTTTTTATTTTATGTAATAAAATATATTTAATGCTTGTATAAATAATGTACAAAATAATATCTCTAATAAACAAATTTTTGAATTAATCATGTAATGATAATTATGGATCTAATTGTGACTTATCCACAATCCCAATAATATCTCTAATAAACAAATTTTTGAATTGAAGTATGACTTTTGTAAAATTTCGTGTATTATAAATGCAGTAAATATGGTTTCTATATTTAAATTGTCAATTTTTTTTTGGGTCAAAAGTTTTTAAAAAAGTATTTTAACAACCACCTTTATATATATAAGAGTTCAAATGAGAACTTCTCCCTAGTGTAAGAACTAAGAACCCATCTTAACCTTTAAATATACTAATATTGATGGTTGTGATTGAACTTAATATATTAACATAATTGGATTAAAATTCTATGAATAATGGATATGGTAGTTTTGTCTAATTTATAATGAAGCAGCTATGGTAAGTTGTTTAATAGGGAAGATACTAAATGACGTTACTATAATTAAATCTTCCTATCCATTGTATCAATTTTTTGTCACCAATATTTTGTCTACATTTTCCTTTATTTTATTTGTGCTTTCACATAATTTTAAGATGAGAACATGGGGTAATTATTAGCAGTAAGAGAAAATATAATTAACATAATATTATATGAATAAAATCAACGTTGAAGGGGTGGGACTTATTATTATTATTATTATTATTATTATTATTATTATTATTGTTATTATTATTATTATTTACCTTTTTTTATTGAACTATGCCATTCAAGTATATAGTGATAATTTTTAATAAATATTTTTTGTTATTCTTTTATTCTATAAAAAAAATAATAAAGTAAGAGTTGATATACATCATAAACTCGTTTAAAATTAATTATAAGATTAGCTGTTGAATTGGAGTAAACAAAAAAATATATTTAAAATATTTTACCATTTTAATTGAGTACTTTAATAAAAAAATCTAATTATTTTAAATTAGAAACATTTTTTTTATATCATAATAGTCAAATTCGAATGGATAATGTCAAAATTCAAATAAATACATCATCTATTTTAGTTGTTATGGGTGATTTTTAATAATAGTAATAATAATTTTTGGTGCGACAATCATGAAAATATTATATGATGCTATTTTTAGTTATGCATGACGCTATTTTTAATACCATATGTTGCTATTATTTATACAAATATTAGTTATATATATAGCTTTGTTGTTTTTTTGTTAGATATTATTAATAGTAGCAACAAACATAATTAAAAAGTAGCATTATATGAAAAAAAAATAGCATTTTTTTTTTTGTGTTTCTTAAATTAAAACTTAGTTATTATTCGACTACATCCAAGTTGTATTCCTAATGAACATTTTTATATTAAAAGAGATTACATAAGTTAGCATAATAAAGAATCAGATTGCAATTCAAACAATATTTAACAACATTATAATGGGGAAAATTAGCATTACAATTCGTTTAAAATAACAATATTTTTTTAATAATATTATAGCAATGTCAAATAAGATTTTTAGCATCACAATAAGCTAAAAATAACAATATCAATTTTTGTAGTATATATCAATTTATTTTAATGAATGTGAGTTTCCTTCTATGAGCTAGTATGACATCCCTAAAATATGGAGTTGCAACTAAGGTAGGATTTCTAATAATCTGAGTTTCCTATATTACTTTTATTGCTTGCCTATTATATAATTTTGTCCTCAAATTTAGACGGTTGATTATGGTGTAATAAAGGGTTATGATTGGTTCTTAGTTCTTACACAAAGAAGAGTTTTTATTAGAACTACACCCTATATATATAAATAAAGATATAGATATAGATAGTGTTATAAATATTATTTCCTATTGGGCTGAAGTCCTGGTTAAGTTAGAAAAAATAAAATAAAATAATAAAAGAAAAAAAAAAACAGCCCGGTTCACGTGATCGTGTGTATGGCAGACTCGTCGAGTACGCCATTCCCAATCCCATTCTGGAAACACCATGAGATAAAATTCAAAGTAAATAAATAATAAAAAAAATCCATCATAAATCCAAATATCACTGATCATCATTTTATTTCATTAATCTTGTTTCCTGATCGGTGAATTGNGAGATCGAAAAAAAAAAAAAAAAAGAGAGAGAGAGAGAGCAGGCATGAGGACAACGCCCCCCTCGCTAATTCGCCGGCTCGCGCCATACTTGTCGGCCCAGGTCCGCCGCAATTCGAGGCTTCTCAGCTCAACCTCCGCCGTACCGAAGCCTCAGTTAGCTTCAATTGAGTCTCCATCTCAGTCGCCCGACGCCGTACATATGACCGACAGCTGTGTCAGAGTAATTTCATTTTCATATGCCCTTCCATTTTTTATTTTTTTTTGTTAATGTTTAGAGTAATTTTGCGCTGATTATGTTTTCTGTGTTTTAATCTGTTTATACATCGTGGGATTGGGCTGGGTGGTTTTCTAAGTGTCTATTGATTAAATCAATGGGCAACTGCGCCAGGCCGAATGAATTTTGAGTACTTTTATTACTTCTTTGTTTTGAAGTCTTGGCGTAATATTCAGACGGAATAATTATTGCATTTATAATTTTCTGAGCATTTATAATTTTCTGAGTTCTCGTCTGTTTATTAGCAGTGGATTTGGATGCTATGCTTGCTTGTTTTAAGAATTTGTTGATTGAATATACCATGATTCTTAAAATCTCAAAAACAAATTTTAAAATCCCAAATGAATACAACCCAATTAATTCCTGCACTGATTAGCTCCTAAGAATAGCCGAGTAGTGCAAGATTTAGAAATGATTCAAAAATAATATGTGTCGTCCGAGACATAGCTTAAGTTTGTAAGAGGTTTGCCTTGTAAGAATACTATACATATCTATGCAACCGAGTATGGAATTCTGTTTAAAGCCATATCTTGACGCAGATGTAAAATGGGAAATGTTTGAGAATATTGGTCTTAGATTTTCACATTGAGATTCTCTGGTTCGTTTAGAGAATTTGGTTCGAGGAACTATATGTGGAGGCAAACTTGCTTAACTCCCCTTATACTATGATCATTGTTTGAATGTTATAGTATGGTAGAAAGAAATAGACCCCAATTCTTGATTGGAAGGGACACCAAAGGCCTCTGCCCCTACTGTTTATCTGGCAGCCACACTTGATTATGAGTCCATTTATCATGTGTAATTGTGTTATTGAACTATGATATTGATTGAGCCAGATTTCTAGTTCATAACTCAACAATTTACTTATATTATGCAGCGAATGAAAGAGTTGCAAGCGGGCGAGAGTAGTAAGAAGTTGCTGCGTTTGAGTATAGAAGCTGGAGGTTGCTCGGGCTTCCAGTATAATTTTTCACTCGACGAGAAGACCAATTCTGAGGACAGGTTATTAAATTTCCTAATTTTTTAGCCTACTTCCTTTTATTGTTGCTGCAAATATTGCATGCTCATAATTAATGGTGTTTGTTGGGTCTCGTGGAAAATTCATTTATTTGTCTTGGGTTTCTGCAGGATTTTTGAGCAGGATGGAGTAAAATTAGTAGTTGATAATATCTCATTTGACTTTGTGAGAGGCGCAACTGTTGATTATGTTGAGGAACTTATACGTTCGGCTTTTCAGGTTGGTTTTCTTGAAATGAGTATCTTTCGAAGTATGTTTAACCCATACTTGCCCTGTGAAAGTTCGAAGTATGTTTAACCCATACTTGCCCTGTGAAAGTTTCAGTTGTTTTGTATTTTCATAGTACAGCTGAAACACCTCTGTTTATTTGCTATATTCATCCTACAACAGCTTACTTCTGTCTAGCATCAGTTTCATTTCTGAAAATTGCCACCATTTTTGGAGTTATGTGGCTTTTGGTGTTGTCCTTTTGCTTAATTTAATGCATTTGAGTTTGTTAAGCAGTACATCTTGACTCTCTTGTCTGTTTAAACTGCAATTTGTACAAGTAAAGGAGAAAAAGTCCATGTCAAACCATCTAGAGTTGTTTTGATCTATTATGTAAAATGCAACTATGAATTGTCGGTTATTAGTGCTTAACTTGTGACTGCTAGTAAGCATATGAGTAAAGGTAAGTTGAGGCTGATCAAATTACTTACTTGTGAGATTATGCTGCTTCTATCTGCTGGGAGTGAATATTCATGATATCTATTATAAAAATAAATGGATAATAATTTATGCCAACCTTGATTATTCAACTAGTTTGGTGGCCTAAATAATTTATAACTTCACCTGTTGTTATGAAGCACCTTGGTGGTCTAAACTTTAAAGTTCTTGCTTCCCAATTTATACATTTATTTTACTTTTATTCGACATGTTTGCTAGGTTAAATTATCTGTTGAAAGAAATTTGTTGCAACTTGTGTCTATCTTCTCTGCTTTTCTTATTTTACAATGAGCATGAGGCGCCTTCTGATGTGTACATCATATTGTTCCCATTTACAGCAACAATTCATGTAATTTTGCTCTTTCCATCTGCTACATCAAAATCGGGACATGATTTCTCAAATATGTGTGTCACGGTTCCTTCATGTAAATTATATAATTATCAATGATTGCTAAAGTTGATTCCAATATGCCATAGTCATATATATGCTTGTAGTACAACAACTAGTATCTCACTAATAACTGTTGGACCCAAAACAATTTTCTGAATACCCCACTTGATAATTTTTTTTGGTCATTTTTTTTTTCTTTTTGGTTTGAAATGGTTAATATCTATAATGCAGGTGTCGACAAATCCAAGTGCAGTGGGTGGATGTAGCTGCAAAAGCTCTTTTATGGTGAAGTAGAATACATGTTACCACAAAGCCAAGAAGATCGCTAACCGAGATTCATGTAAATGTTATTCTGGTATCAAGATTTGTCCTTGTTCGATTGTGACTGGAAAAAAAAAAAAGAGAGAGAGAGAGAGAGAGAGAGAGAGAGAGAGAGAGAGAAAGAATATCAGTAATTGATTTCGGATGTTTGATTCTTTTGATCATTATATAAGCAGAAACTGGGAAAAATGACCTAGTGGTGAAAGTGCTTGCTCCTGCTACTTCTGTCTATTTGTAATACACAGTAGAAATTTTGTAGTACTGGACATTATTTTGTATACTAATAAGTAATAATAAACATTTCGTGAAATGTGTCGCCGTGCATTAATAGGTAGTATCACACCAATTATATATTTTCTTCGATTCATTGTGTTAAATCGTACCGTGTCATGCTAGATCGTGTCTACATGAAAGAAACTGTTAAATAAGGAAATTATAAATTTACTAGTGCAATCCTTTCAATTAGAGAGAAATTAAGTTCTTCGTGAGTCTGATTTTGGTCGTTACGGCTAGACTGAGGCTTGTTAAAACTTGAAATATTATTAATTATATATTTTTCATTACTCGACTCGTTGAGGATCAAACTCGTTTATAGGCACCTTGATACTAGCTTGAACCCGAGCCCAGGCATTAGGAGGTCAAGTTTAACTCATTTACATTCCTACTTTCATTACAAGAAGATTATGTTTACTGGGTGTAATTATACCAATCGATCAAGTTATTTAATAACTCCATTAACCATTAATAAAACCATTCACAATATTTTAACATGCTCAACCATTTACACAAAATCATAGGAGTGGTAATGACCTAACTAAAACAATGAAATAGTTCATTATGGCAATGGCAGCGACTTAAATAAATAAAAGGGTAAAATAGTTTGACCCATCTGAACTATCACGGTTTTGGCGCATTACCATATAAACTTTTATTTTTAACAAACCACCATATAAATTATACGGATTTGTCACTTTGCCATATAAAACTATAATTAAAGTGAGCGCGACGAGGCTGTGACGGGGATGCTTAAATGATGGACGCAGAATATGCCGGCGTCGGAGAGATATGAACATGTCCAGTATTTAGACCCGTTGCTTATCCCTTAGGAAGAAAATCAATCCCCACCCATCACACACACAAAGAAAAAAAAAATAAAGTACACAATTAAATTTGGTAAGTTTCAGTAAAAANAGAGAGAACAAGAAATCATAGTGCATGACTCAATATATATATACCACAAATATGATACATACACATATATATTAGATGACTAAATATAATATAGAATTATTATTGTTATACCTTGTCCCTGTTGCACATATATCTGATCCTGGAAGACCCCGATTGCCTCGAACGTGACCTTCTGCTAGACATTATTAGTCCAGAATAAACCAAAAAGTTATGGTATGTAGGATAATAATGGTTGTCAAAAATTTTCATTCTTTTTTTTCTTTTTTCTTTTTCTTTTTTGTACAGTTACCTCTTCTCCGGTTAATAAGAGGTATAATATAGCCATTATACAATTATTTAACCGGTTGTGTCGGCGGATCCGGCTGCTTAGCCGAGCACGTTTTAGACAACCATGAAGGCGAACAGTCCATCCCAAGCATGATGACGGCGTTTTTGTCGCATGAGATGTCGACAGGGAGGGCCCGAAGGCGTCGAGCATCCAAATGTCAGTTAAGGAATTAATGGATGTGGCAGCCGAGCCCGGAGACATTGCTGGCAAAGGCGATGAGGAGGGCGCCGATGGAGAGGGAGGCTACGTTGGTTGGTTGGCAACGATATATTTCATTTTCTTTCTTTATTTTTATTTTAATTTTTTTTATAACATCGAATTTATTAAAATGCCCTCGAAAATCAATTTTTTTTAGTTTAAACTACTTTATACTCGGTTTAGGGGCAAGATGAAAAAAACGTGGAGTTCGTATGGCTGTATGTCAAAAAAAATAATTGATATGGTAAGCCACGAAAATCGCAATAGTTCAGATGACAAAAAGTAATTTACCCTAAATAAAATTATAGCTACTAGTACGTAACCCGTGCGATGCACAGGATATAAAATTTGGAAGAATAATGTAACCTCACGTGCATTAGGATCGAAATTGAAATCATTAAAATACATAGGAACATTATTGAATCATAAAAAGTCGGTAACAATCATATATTATTAAAAACCTCCTTGTACACTACATTATGAGTTTGATTATTTAGTAACTCCTCATTATCACAAACTAATATTTTCAAAAGAGAGAAATCCTAAAAATCAAACTAATATTTTTGGTGAGCAAACTAATATTTTAGGATTGGTGAACAAACTAATATTTTAGGATTTCTAAGATTTGTCTCTTTTTGGTGAACAAACTAATATTTTAGGATTGGTTATATGAATAAGGCTACCTGTTTTTGGTGTTCTTTTCATTCATTTTCATTCAAACAATCCGATGACTTGTATAATGAAATCCGAATCTTAAGCCGAAATATTTTAAAAAAAGAGTTTTTAAAGATTGAAAAGTCATTAATTAAAGGTCAAAAAATATCCGCTCCTTGAAATAAAGACGTGTGCTATCATTAACCAAATATCCGGTTATTGATATAGAGTGGTTACCAAAAAATAGAACGCGTTACGGACTATTCATGGAAATATGAATGGGATAAGGTCATAACAGATCGCTATACATTTTAACGATAACAGCTCAGATGGAATGATTTATGATAATTATGTCGTAATTAATGAATTAATTAGATGTGTGAAAAAGACATAATTAATGAGAAGTGTGAAAAAAGACAAAAACTTATCTGTTTTAGAAAATATTTAATACAAATCCATTGACCATAATTTGACCTACTATTTTAAATAAATGTTAATTCTTATTATATAAAACAGTACTCATGTTTGTCAATTGTCAAAACGGAATTTCATTGAAACAAGGGGGTCAAAAGCAGAATTATACACATTACAGGCAGGGGCCTAGCTACAAATATTTCCCCACTAAAAATTCTACTTGTTCCCGATAGCTATAAAACGCCGCCGCGATTTTCTTTTGGCACGAGTCCAGCACTCTCTCTCATTTCAACACCAATTGCAGCGGCGGCGCGTGTATCTCACTTCGAGCTCTGCTGCCCTTAAAGCCCGAACTTGCTTGCGAACATCTTATCATCAGCTGGTTGAGCCGGTTGAACGATGAATTTTGCGGATGAGGATTTTGAGCTGAGAGAAGTTCAGCAACTCGAAGGTCACGCCGATAGGGTTTGGAACGTCGCCTGGAAACCGGCAACCGGAGCCGACGGTGTCCCCGCCGTGCTTGCTTCCTGCAGTGGAGATAAAACCATCCGCATCTGGGAGCAAAGCCCTCTTACCGGCTCTTTCCAGTGCAAGGTTTCAATTATTATTATGACTACTATTATTGGCTTTCTATGTGTTAGTTTTATGTGTTTTGAGATCGAGGAAAAGTTACATGCGATCAGTTAAATTGTAACATTTGATCTTATGTTTTTCGATCATGAAGCTTATAGAAAAATTTCAGTAGGTTTGGTTGGATACGCCGTTGGCACTAAAAATGATCGTTTTTAACAGGCAGTTTTGGAGGATACTCACACTAGGACTGTTAGATCTTGTGCTTGGTCGCCCTCCGGCAAATTGTTGGCGTCAGCAAGTTTCGATGGCACCACTGCTGTATGGGAAGATGTTGATGGCGATTTTTCCTGTGTTTCTACTCTAGAGGTGCTTTTCATTTTCATTAATTTTTCTTGTTTTTTGAAAGAATTAGTAAAGAAAAATGCTATTTTAAATGTTGTGTGTATTTCATGTTGAGCAATGGATGTGATGTTGATTCAATAGTTGCTAAAGTTGAGAGTAATACACTGAGGAAAAAACATGTATTATGACATCTAGGGTCATGAGAATGAAGTTAAAAGCGTCTCCTGGAATGCATCTGGATCGTTGCTCGCGACTTGTGGTCGAGACAAATCAGTTTGGATATGGGAAGTATTACCCCATAATGAGTTTGAATGTGTTTCAGTTTTACAAGGACATACACAGGATGTCAAAATGGTGCAATGGCATCCTTCAATGGATATTCTGTTCTCATGCAGCTATGACAATGCAATCAAGGTACTTTTATGTTTGGATGAAAAATAGTAGTAGGGTCTTGTTAGATATTTGAGGGTCTGCAAAGTCTGTTTCACTCTATTTATTACAGGCACGGACTTTGATAGGGGGTTACTCACGTAGCCCCGGGACACCCCAATTTTAGCAAACTTTAGAGAAAAAAAATTAGTTGCACTAGACTGAAAAAATATAAAAGTAGGCTAGGAAAAATAAACTAAATTTTGGGTCAGCTTGCTTAACCTAGCCAGAAGCCTGTCTACGGGTATGCGAGCAAGCTGGGTAGGGGGCCTTGGTTATAGATTTCAGATATATTATACTATGAACTCATCTAACTTCTGTAGGTCTGGGCGGGTGATGGAGACAATGATGATTGGAATTGTGTACAGACTTTAAATGAATCCAACAGGTAGTTGATACCTCCCTTTACCATGTTTGAATGTAATGATGAATACTTATGCTTAGCAGCAATGATTTTTTTTTTTTTAAATCATGCATGTGGCTCATTGAGTTGTTGATAGTTACTTAATTTTTCAATTTTGGTTTAAGATATATATTCAGATCATTTTTGTCCAAGCTAGTGGGAAGTTATGTCTAGGTTGAAGAATTATCAAATAAAGTATTCAGGTCAGAACTCACTAAGTCTTGGTCATATACTTTGTTGTTTAACCCTTTTTGCTCCACCAGTAATGTTCTAGTACCCTTGCATGCCGCTTAAGCCTGGGCTCTGCTACATTTTGCAGTACATCACTAATGGAAACAACTAGAAATACCATCTCAGATACATTTGATTTCCCTCCCTCAAATTTCTATGTTAAATGTGAATTTTTGTTCCTTTAGCTGATTGTATATTTGTAATGGACTGTAGATAATCAGGAGTTTCTATTAATTGACATATCTTAATTAATTGAGTTAATTTTTCTTAGATCATTTCAGGTGGATATTGTTAGTGATCATCAAGTGAAGTTAAATAAATTTAATAAGTTGCATAACTTTTATCTTATTTACATGAAATTAACAGTTCTCTCACATTATCTTGCAAACATCTCAATGTATATTATTTTCCGTGTTTTTTTGTACATATATGCCTCAGTAGGTTCTATAGCTTCCTTAAGTGGATAGTTTATTATGTACCTAATATGCTTAATGAAATCATGTAATCATTCCTTAAACTAACCTTTTTTTTTTCCATCTCTCAAGCGGACATACATCTACAGTCTGGTCCTTATCTTTTAATACCAGTGGAGACAAGATGGTTTCCTGCAGGTATGCCCTAACTCTCTTTATGTTTGCTTCACTTAACTATTAACCATTAAGTGGTGCCAGCAACAATTTATGTTACTGCCATGACTATAAGGTCAATTATGACGCTAAGATCATCTGTAAATTTGATATTGTAGTGATGATCTCACCGTTAAGATATGGAAATGTGACATCGTGAAGGCACATTCCGGAGATGGCATTGCACCTTGGTGAGCTACACATCTTTACGTTAGTTTGATCTTTT